TATGCCTTGGGAAAGTCCGGTTTCCAGGTTGCGGTAACTCTTTTGTGAAAGGTCAGTAACGATGAGTTCTGGCCGAGTTCTCCTCCTCACTAACAGATGCATCTATTGCAGCTTCAAATAAGCTGCCCAACGTTCACCCCTTAAGGCAAAAGTCGTAATATCAAATGTTGCTGTCGGTCGAATTTTAAGCTTAAATTAAGACAGTCCCCGTGTGGTATTATCGGTCACCATACAAGTGAAGGGGAAACATAGGCCGCGAAAAAACACCTTCTTGGGCCATATATTACAACAATACGTTTATTTTGGTTTTTAAGACCACGAAATTAACACAAGGTGCTGTTAGTTCGCTGATCCAGAACTGAAAATCACTCTTGATTTTGATTTTTCCCGTAAAAAAAGCTTGGTTGGGTTTTATTGTATCACATTGCGATTCTGAAATAGTCTGAAATAAGAGGCCAGTGTGCATAAAAAAAATCACACGAACCCCAAGTTATCGTAAGGTTATGCCACACAAAATTTCAGATTATGAGGGTGTTTGAGGTTTCATAGAGTAACCTACCTGTTCTAATATACTCAAGTCCACAAACAGATAAAACTACGCGAGGTTCTTGAACAGTTCTGGTTATTGGGAGTCAAGAATTCCTCATTTGAAAGCCCACTAGGAGAGATGAGAAAAATTAGAACTAATATTGATACGTCATAAGTAAGCGGCCAATCTGTTAGGCAATTTTTGATTTTATCGAATCTTCCGTACACTTAAAAACATTTTCCGTTTGATTTAGTTACACTTTGGTGTTTTAAAACTCCAAAGATGTCTTAATATCTAATTTACTTTTTCACCGCTGAAATCAAAATTTTTTTATTTTTAGAGCATAGTTTTCCTTTAATCGCGTGTCGAGTGTCACAGTTCTTTTAACTCCTTGAACCAAGCGATTTCATGTGGTTAAATATGCCCTGGAATCTGTTTTGTTGGGAGGAAACCTTTAGATCACTTACTATATCTGTAATATTAATACCAGTCCCATAACATTCTCTTGACTGGTCTCTCTTCTTCCTTCAGGAATGTGCCAAAAAAGCTGTGGACTTTGCAGCGGAGGTAAATATTGGTCTCATACCATTACGACTCCCTCGTGATATATGAAACAAAAAGCCCCTTTTAATTTGTGGCTGTCACAGCAAATAAAACCAAGGGGACATTTCCGAAATGACAAACTTTTGTCGAAATTCATTCCTTCTTCTCCCTTCGATAAATAAATCTGGTTTGTGGAACTGTAAAACTTTCCCAGAGTATTAAATTATCGAGAGATCCTTTTTTTGCACCAGTGTTACTTATGACTGAAATCAAAGCACCTCTTTGTCAAATCGACAGATTGGTGGGACAGTGTCAGAGAGAGATGGACATCATGTTCCATCCAACGGTTTGTAATCGCAAAATACACAAAGAACATTTCCTGTAAACTGTAATCCTAAAAAATGTCACCATTGCTTTGCAACCCTTTCTCTTCTGTGTACAAGAGCATGTGATTAATTCTTTTAAATCCCGTGTTCGACCTTTGTAAAAGCAAAGTTGGTTTTATGAAAAAAAATATTAAGCTAACCAAAATATGATTATCATCGGGCGGTATGCCAATTGCTTTCGCGACATTTATTTGCGGTAGCAAAAAAATTACAGATGTGTAAAAGTAGCAGTCATCCATTGAACATACAAGAAAATGGCTAATTCAGGAAGTATTCATTATCATTTTGGGCATTACTACTTTTTTAATTCAGTTTAATCTACTACTCTTTTATCTTAGGCGGTGGCGGTGGTGGCGGCGGTCATGGTGGCGGTGGCGGCTATGGAGGCGGCGGTCATGGTGGCGGTGGTCACGGCGGCGGTGGTCACGGCGGCGGGCATGGAGGCGGCGGTTTTGGCTTCGGAGGCGGTCGTCCTGGCGGATACGGAGGCGGTCGTCCTGGCGGATACGGAGGCGGTCGTCCTGGCGGATACGGAGGCGGTCGTCCTGGCGGATACGGAGGCGGTCGTCCTGGCGGATACGGAGGCGGTCGTCCTGGCGGATTCGGTGGCGGCCGCCGTCCTGGTGGATTCGGCTTTGGACGTTGATGAAAAAAAACTGACCGTGGACTATAGTGATTACATCGTAATGTATAATCCATATTACTTAAATAAAATAGTTCAGTATCGACCGTGTGCATTCGAGCCTAAAAAGCTGTATCTGATAAACAAAGTGAAGGTTTAACTTTTCCTTGGTTCAATGTAAGTTTTTCGGGAAAGAGAAAGAAACCTCCGACTTTTAAACCGCGCGACAAGAATTCCTGGTGGAAAAAGAATTGAAAGTTGTATAATTATTTATACAACTCATAAAACTCTCTTCCAAATTTAAACCCAATTTTCTGTCACGTACTCCAATTTTTTACTGCTTAGTGTTTTAATGAGATTCGTGAAGGTGCAGTTGAGAATTCCTCTGGGATAGAGCGCCAAGCTGCCGTCATCTTAAATTTTCCAACGGAATTTTGAGTTCAATGTTCAATGCGTTTGCGTTTCGGAAAGCTGTCTGGTGACTCACTCAGCCAAAGCGAAACCCCGCATTATTCTAGCCGCAAACGTTTTCTCACTCGCACAAATTTGGTAATTGCATATGTATCACAAAAATAAATCGAATTTGAATGTCGTCTGCACGTCTGCACGCTATTGTCGTGTGATCACGTTTGTGTCTAACAACTTTTTCGTGAGTGGGTGCAAGTAATTTGGCATACATCACTTACACGTCAACTTTTGATGTACACGTCAGAGGTTTTTCATGCCGACTGCAAAAGAGTCAGAATGTAAACCCCCTTAATTAGAGTTTATGATAAAATACCGACTTAGTACATGTTTCATGGTCGCAAAACTACTTTTTATGAGGCACTCAGATCATTTGTTTTCGACCTTGGCAGTTTGTTGACGATTCAGCCTTTCCTTTTTGTTAGTTACCAATAACTGATAATTCTCTTTTTCCATATTTGAATTTCAGATTTCAGGTTATCCGATCATGAAAATATCAGTCAACAAGAGGAATTCAATGGAAATGGGAAATATAATCTATAATCTATATTATAAAGTATATAGTAAATACTACATAGAGCTATATGAGCTAGTGATTGGGAGAAATAAATCTTGAAGTTGCAAGTGAAAAAGGCTCTGAAATTCACTTTTTTGCAGAGGTTTAAACGACTTATTACTGAGTTCGAAATGCATAGATTCGCTGGCTAAGTACAAAAAACAAAGGAACCGGCGGTCTTTGCTGAGGACGATCTTGTTTGTATAGGTAATCACGTGACTTCGAGTTCAATTTGGAATAACTAAGCACGAGTAAATTTTTTCAGACTAACAAAATTTGTGGTCTTTGAAAAAGTTAAAAGTGCTTATTTATTCCAAATTGTACGAGAAAAATCATATGATTACGTATTAATAATATACATGACAAAAATACAAGATAGCTTATCATAATTATGCAGAGGCAAACGCGCGCACCAAGTGCAAAAATAATTTATTCAAATCCCGTAAGTGACATTGTGTGCTCGATCAAAATAACCGCGTACGATCAAAACAATAATATACAATGATATTTTCACATCTTTACGGCGCAAAAAAATTCAAAGTTCAGCTAAACAGTTAGAGGAATTTTTCAGTGTGGTTTGTTACTTCTTTGCATTGAATTAACTATCTTCTGCATTGAATTACCTGAAAACTGTATTTATCTTAAACAATCAGAAGCTTGTGATTCAATTCAAGTCCCTTTTCAGTCCATTTTTTTTTAATTCACCTTTTTTTAAGGTCTTGATGGACCGCCACGTTGTCCAAACGAAAGCAAATTGTTATCTGAGACATACCAAGGCTGGGGTATTCTTGAATTAGTATGGGCAGTTTTCTTCTTAATTTCAGATCTAGATACCGCACACAAAATAACAAAATGGAAATTGTCCAATGTTTCTTGAAGATTCGCTTTCCAAGATCCCGTATCTATTTGTACGTAGGCTTATTCTAACGGCTCTCAGTTTTACGTTTAGGGTTAAAACAATCAGCTGAAGGCAGTTTAAAAGAGGTTTTAAAGAAATCACTTTTTTGATCATCATTTAATTATTCAGGTCTTGGACATTCAGTTTTATGAAATTTTTTCCGTGCATGTTGATGTAAAAAAGACAATGGAGTTTTGATGTTATGGCACACTTTTCACTCGCTTTTCAGCAGTTGTGTCAAGTCTGCCGTCACCTTTTGTTATCTGGCATTGCTTATATAGTATTGTAGTCAAAATGTTAGGTTTTTATGTCCCAGAGTTGTTCAACGTTTCAACTCTTCCTTGTGATTCCAAGGTCATGAGAATAGATTGTTTTATCTGTTGTTAGCTGCTAACTTTACGTAACAAAAAATCCTCCTGTGTAATTTATAAGGAAATGCACAGCATTTGGAGGGGGGTGCTACCAATTGGATCCTGGGAGTTTAAAACTTACCTTCTTTTTAAGATAAAATTACGATTCTTTACTTAGAGGCGTTGAAATTGACGTAGTTACGAAATTCATAAGTTTCTACTCATAATCCTCAATATCGACGAAATATCTTTTGATCGAGACGAACGAGACACAGAGATTGTTCCTAGTTTCTAATCGCCTTATCGCCTACGCAAATGTTACAAGTTCAAACAATTACAAATAAGCGGCGTTTTCGCACAATATGGGAGGCCGACTTTTTAAATCAATATTTCAACAATGTGAAACAAAGAAATTCAACTACTGAGAATTTATCTCCAAGTGTTGCAAATTAGTTCTAGGAATCAATGTACCGTTAAAAAGATAAAAAGTTACTGAATATCTTTTTGTGGAATTTTACTTTCCACAATGTTGTTATTAGTTCTTACGGAAAAATAAATCATTTTGTCAGTCTGTCAACAATGAAGGGTGGAGTTTCTAGGTTTCTGCGCTACGTCGGGTTGCAGTTGTTTGGAATGTGGGAGTAATTTGTAGTTTTATTTCCATTTAAAAGTTGTATACACTTCTAAAGCCTTCATTATTTATCCGGCTGCGCTGGAAGAATCAGCAAGGTAAGATTTTATCGCTTCCTTCGAAGAAGTTATGTCCGATGTTGTACTTTGAGTAAATTTTATTTAGCAAGATTCAATGTACAAAGAGTGACTTTGTAATCGGGAGAAGCTTAAAGGGTGACATGTCAGATTAAGGTCTGGATGGTATTTTTCATTATGAAGCAAGAATATTGCCAAAGCAAGATATAAAAGAAAAATCATTGGATAAGCCAACACAATTTAAATAATATAATTTGACTTAAATTTCGTCGCTTATCGTCTAAAAACACTTGAGTCGCAGTTTTATATTAAAGTTTTACCCCTCAGGTTTTAAAAGAAATGCACTGATGTGGTCTACACAAAAGAGAAAAGCTCAAAAGTACAAAGTCTGAATACAAAGAAAAATTCCATGAAATGGAACTTAGCAGTATGAAAACCAAAACGAGTAAAATAATCTGTACCGTGAAATTTATAATTTAAAGATTCAGCAAAAGATCAATCGACAGATCACCGTCTTGTTTGGAATCAAACGAGTTACGTGGCATTGGTGACGTGTTGGCCAGTTCGAAGCCTGTCGAGATGGGGGGCAAGTAGACCGGAAAAATGCACATAATAGGAGGTTTCTTTTTTATCTAAGTTAAATTTAAGAATAGTGCATGAACATGCACGGGCCTTGTATTGGTATCTGATGAACTAAGCAGAATCCCTTCACTGCTCGTTCAGGAGTAGCAATTTGGTTTCATTCTTTCCCTTTGTGACTTTAAAAAAATAATATACTTTGTTTTACTCTCTAAGGATCAAGGATTGATAATACATGTATGTTACGTTTAAAAATGATATCAACAGAAAGCAGTTTTGTAGTACAGTGATTTGATGATTTCCTTTCATTTTCCAACAGATGCCAACCGCAGGCAAGGACATTATTGGCTTGTGGCTTATCGTGTTGGCTGCAATGAATCTTTCTCAAGGTAATAAGGTTATAATCCATTCCACTATGATAATAGGTTCCTCTCACCTTTGATGATAAAAAATACGTTATTATCTATAGTCAGAATTCTAAAAGTTCACATAAATTCCCAAAACTGGTTTCTTAGCTCAGTAATCAGAAGCGCTCAACTAACCGGCATATGTAGGCACTGGCTCTACACTCGTCGAAGCCTTCTTCTGCAATGACGTTCGATTCACTTCAGTTAACGATCTGTAAAGAACGATTTTTCACATCTTATATATTCTATGAGAGAGATACTAGGCTTCCATGTATTCCGGGTTTATAGCCCTGAATTGAAAGAAATCTTTGGTAAAGTATGCTCGGCAAAGAGATTGATTTCTTACAGGTCACTACTTCATTGAAAGGTTCACCAAAGATGAGTTTTTAATGCATTTTTCTCTTTACTTAGCCGCCTCATCCGATTGTGAGAATCCTCCATTAGATATATCTATCGTGATCGATCAAACAAAGAGCGTAGGAGCGGACAACTATGACGCCATGTTGGACTCGGTCATGGCACTCATTTCGCAGTATGATATCGGTGAAGACAAGACACACTTCTCCATCGTAACTTATGCAAAAGGCGCAAAAGTTCGTGTCAGCTTTGACAACCTAAAACATCAAAATAAAGCGGCCCTTCGTGCACTGATTGAAAAAATGAAGAAGAAGGACAAGTTGGGGAACCCGACGAGGACTGACAACGCCTTGAAAGTGGTCGGCGAGGACGTTTTCAACGAAAAGAATGGAGATCGACCGGAATCACCGAACGTCATGATCATCTTCACTGATGGAGGAACACATAAGAGTTCTAAGCCTTACAGTACCGTGCTACCAACTCTTGAGGTGAGACCGTAAAACTGACAGTCTAAATCTCGTCAGTTCGACTCACATACAAATGGTGACGAACGGCGTTGGAGAGCGGCCCATTGCATTTTCTTGTATACAATACCCCAAATCAACTGGAAAGAATTATAAATATTCATTTACTTTTTATTGTGTTACTTCCTCTAATGATTGTTCATCGCTTGCCTTTTGCAAGCGCCATGGCAAGGTCAAAACATCACGTCGTAGCTTCCCATCAGCTAAAAGGTAGTAATTAGTCGACTGTGGATTGTTTACATCTCTCCGATGAGATAGCTTGGGATTTTCTTTGTTAATGGTTTTTATCAACTTGTACAAATGATAAAGTGACTTGTAGATGAAGAAACAGTTGAAAATTTCTTCTTCACAGACTAACAGCAATTTACTCATGTAACTGGTCTGAAAAAGAAAAAATAAAACCTCAGCGAGTATTAAGGCCTCGCATTCCAAGTACTGAGTCGGTGCTTGGGTGCAAGGCAAATTTAGTTGGATTCTTGTTCCCCATGAAAAAGGAAACCTGGTCGCGTTATTGTAGACGCCGTTCGATGAACAGGCTTTAATAGCAGTTTATCATTTAAGATCAATTCATTGCTGGTCAGAATTTTTCACTTTGCAGATGCTATGGCAAGCTCTATCTATTTCTGTCCCACGTCAGTTCGTCACCTTATAATCACACATATAACGGCTAAAAAGCAACTGATAGAAAGAGGGACGAAAAATAAGGCTCATAAGAGCAATCTCTCCACGCAGGAAAAAGGAGTACATCGCGTGGCTGTGGGAATAGGTAAAAAAATTAAGCAGGCAGAGCTTATAACTATTGCTGGAGACGAGAATCGAGTGGTTAATGCCAAAAATGTTGAAGACTTGAACAACCAGTTGGACGATATTCGCAAGGCTACTTGTAGTAAGTATCATTTTAATTCAATTAAATAAAGATGAATGGACTTAAATTATTTTTTTTCCGTCTGCTCTTACTGCTACATCCTATAACATTGACTAAAAGACAAATTCTGATGTTGAGGATGTAGTTTTGGGAGACACCACGCCACCGAGAAAAAGACACTATTCCGGCTTCATCCTAACTTTCCACGGGAAAGTGGCGGCAACTAAATGGTATTTGCTAGATTATTTGCTAAAGGACTATCTTATGACAGCTTATTAAAAGTGAAGTTTGTCTTCAAGCCCGATGGCCCAGCATGGCCAGCCAGAGCTTATCACGGTTTCCTTAGCATGAAACCACTAAGAGTGACCAAATCCCTCCTAGGATGGGATTCTAGTTCAGCGTAAGGTTACCCCCAGCATTTCATCAGGCATCTCAGACAATTCGCTGGTAGTCATTTATACTCCTGGCTGGAGAGGGACACTGTCAGGGTAAAGAGTTTTACCGGCGAGGTCTCGAACCCAGACCTCTCGACCTCCGGCTGGGGTTCAGCGCACTAGTCACTGGGCCACCGCGTTTCCTGCAGCTCTTTATATAAAAAACAAAATGATTCCTTGAGCAGGAGATGACCGGGAAATTCGCAAATGATCTTAATATTTGACTGCTGCTGTATTTTTAGACATTGATGGAGGATATACCGAGTGGTCTGAGTGGAGTGAATGCACAGCAACTTGTGGTGGAGGAAGTCGTTCTCATTCAAGAACCTGCACCAACCCGTCACCGAAAAACAAAGGAAAAACTTGTATTGAACAGGATTTGGGTCCTGATATGGAATCCGAACAATGTAACACCCGAGACTGTCGTAAGCATGACGTATTAACTTTTATACACGCAGATACACCAAAATTTTTCTTGTTCTTAAATATTATATCCAAACTGTGCGCAGTGAGTATGCTATTAATATTTGCATTCAACACTTCGGTTACGTAACAGGAAAATTAAATTGTTACAAAAGAAGATTCTATTTTTATATTGGAAGTTGAAGTAGCATGAATGCGAGCTGCGTTTACGTTAGGTAATGTTTAACATCTGTGTAATGAACAGACACATGTCCGCTTTTAGATGGAAATCCAATGAAGGAAGGACCAACATGAATTTCTAGATAGAATTATTCCACCCACTTATGAGAGCTGTAGGTGCCTGATCAATAAGGTCTTGACTAGCATTACGCGTTTGAACAAATTACTTTTCTCAGCCATACCTGGTGGTTACACTGGTTGGTCCGAATGGGGAGAATGTAGCGTGACATGTGGTGGAGGAGTTCAGACACGAAAACGGACTTGTACCAATCCCCCGCCGTCTGGTGGTGGGCCAACATGTATTGAGATAAATCTGGGACCAGCAGAGGAACAAAAGGAATGCAACTCACAAGATTGCGGTGAGTCAGTTTGAGACGTAGTAGAGTTATGGTTACACCCGCGGGGCTTTATTCCAAAAAGAATTCTCAAGCATAGCCTTTAACGATTTAAATTCCTTTGGTGTAAAACATTTTCGATAATCCTTCGAAAATCAAAAACGTGTTATGGCAAAGACTTTGACCCATCTAAGGAAACTTTAGAAAGAATGGATTCATAAGAAGTTCAAGATTGTGAACGAGTGAGGTATTCGAAGATGTACATTCCAGGACCTTTTCTTTACCATCAACAATTTCGTTTTATTCGATGGGTGTTGAACAAAAAATTTGGATCAACACTAATGACAAAGAAATGCGACACAGAGCGTTGTGATGTAAAAGGATTTGTGAATTTCTCAGTCATATCCTGCTTAAGGAATCATTTTAGTAATTACATATTCCATATAATTACATAATCCAGCTCTTTATATAAAAAACAAAATGATTCCTTAAGCAGGAGATGACCGGGAAATTCGCAAATGATCTTAATATTTGACTGCTGCTGTATTTTTAGACATTGATGGAGGATATACCGAGTGGTCTGAGTGGAGTGAATGTACAGCAACTTGTGGTGGGGGAAGTCGTTCTCATTCAAGAACCTGCACCAACCCGTCACCAAAAAATAAAGGAAAAACTTGCATTGAACAGGATCTGGGTCCTAATATGGAATCTGAAGAATGTAACACCCAAGACTGTCGTAAGTATAATGTATTCACTTCTCTACATTTACTTCTCTTGTTCTTAAATATCATAACCAAACTATGCACAGTGAATATGCTATTAATACTTGCATGCAACACTTTGGTAAAAGGAAAATTTCATTGTTACAAAAGAAGTTTCTCTATTTTTATATCGGAAGTTGAAGTAGCAATTATGCGAACTATGTTTACGTCAGGTAACGTTTAATGAACAGAAACATGTCCACTTTTAGATGGAAATCCAATAAAGGCGGGGCCAACATATATTTCTAGATAGAATTATTCCACCCACTTTTGAGAGCTGTAGGTGCCTGATCAATAAGGTCTTGACTAGCATTACGCGTTTGAACAAATTACTTTTCTCAGCCATACCTGGTGGTTACACTGATTGGTCCGAATGGGGAGAATGTAGCGTGACGTGTGGTGGAGGAGTTCAGACACGAAAACGGACTTGTACCAATCCCCCGCCGTCTGGTGGTGGGCCAACATGTATTGAGCAAAATCTGGGACCAGCAGAGGAACAAAAGGAATGCAACTCACAAGATTGCGGTGAGTCAGTTTGAGACGTAGTAGAGTTATGGTTACACCCGCGGGGCTTTATTCTAAAAAGAATTCTCAAGATAACCTTTAACGATTTAAATTCCTTTGGTGTAAAACATTTTCGATAATCCTTCGAAAATCAAAAACGTGTTATGACAAAGAAATGCGACACAGAGCGTTGTGATGTGAGTTGTTCGGTGGGAAGGGTGAGTAAAATTATTAGCTTTGTCATAACTTTCATTGTTTCACTGTGTGACAAATGAATATAAAAACAAAAGGGAAGGTAATACTCTATCTGAATGATTTTTCTGGTATATTATGAAGGACTCAGGAGAATAGGTTTTCCTTGGATGGGAGATTGTGGCACCCTCAACACCACCAGACTGTATGTTACGATACGTATTATTGTTATTATCATCTCCATCATCTTGGTTTGTGCACGCATAACCATTTAATGTCTAATTTTGTACAGGTGAAGATGGCAACTGGTCTCCCTGGGGTGCCCCTGGTCCTTGTGATAAGACCTGTGGGGGAGGTACTCGAGTGAGAAAAAGAACATGCACCGACCCACCTCCATCTGGGGACGGTAAAGATTGTGCAGGAAGCAGTACAAAAGATGAGCCGTGCAACACACAAGCATGTATGTTCTTGTTCAAAAGCATTTGTACATCTTCGTCATATCGAAGTGCAGATTAATGTTTATCGCAAGAAGAGCGAAAATTCAAATATAGGATAATTCTTAAAGGAATTGCTCTGTTAGGCCTCGAATGGCGCCACTGCAAGCGGTAACATGTCACTTCCCATGAATACGTCGTATGTCGACTACGAAATGTGTAACCCACGATAGCATTCACTCCGAATGCTTCGTTCTTCAGTCCGTCACTTTTGGGCGTGGACTTGAAACTTACTCAATCCTCCATAAAAACTAAACTCCATAAAATTTTGGTTCGAATCAAATCTAAAGAATATTTAAACCTTAATTAATCTTAGCAGTTCAGCGTCAACCCTACTGACAATGTCAATCTTGAAGTTAGGAGACACCCCGCAAGGAGATGCAAATGATCGGCTTCTTGATGCCCTGGACTTCGGATAGAGCCTTGTCCAGGTCATTATGCTGTGTTAAGAAAGACAATTTATTCCCACAAATCAACTCACCAGCTCGAAGGGTATCATTAAACTGCCGCATAAACATGAGGGGGAGGGGCGGCAGTGGGGAGCGTTACAATGGACTGAGATCCCTTCCTCTTTAAAACTGACACAGGGATAAACTCCTACGTGATGGCCCCCCTGGTTCCAAAGCTGTTTTTTTTTTTTCTTTTATCCTTATCTTAATGGCACGCCTGCTTCCAGAGCTGACGTTTTCTTCATCTTTAACATTTTATCATCAAGGCCCAACTTCACCTCCACCTCCACCTCCACCCAAACCTTGCAAGGAACATCTCGACGTTGGTGTCATAGTCGATTCCTCCAACAGCATCAGTTCTGTTGATTACAATATAGCACGTGATTACTTAGTTCGACTGGCTCAAAGACTAGAGGTTTCCGAAGCCGGAACACATATGGCGATCCTTCTCTACAGTTGGGAAGCACATCTCTGGCACAGGTCTGTACATTCATGTCATACATAGGGAACGTCTGAGTTTGGAGATGAGGCTAAACTTTCCAATTTTTTTTGTGAGGGGAGGAAGGAAGGTGGGAGGGGGGTGAGGGGGGTGAGGTTAAATGGGACGTAAGCCTGTGAAATGTTCTTGACATTTAAAGTCGGTAGAGGTTAAAATTAAATCAATGCATTTTTAAATATAAACTAATAAATTATTTATAGCTTTCTATCCTAAAGATTTCAGTAATTTCGTAGTTACAGACAACAATTTGAGTTTTTTTTTCATTGCATTATGAATATCTTATACTCTTACACTTGATCCCAAAGACTTGCACAACTCTCTTCCTTCAATTATTTTCTCCCATCAATGCTTTTCAGATTTACCAATCCGCAAAATATTAATGCACTTACAGCCAAAGCCAGAAGCTTGCCGCATATTCGAGGCGGAACAAGAACAGACAGAGCTCTAGAACTAGCTGCGGAGGAGTTTTTTGGTTGGGACAATAGTGGAGACAGACCCGATAAACCAAATGTGCTACTTGTGCTGACTGATGGTGACACAAACGAAGGGAGTAAGCCATTCAGTCAAGTTACTCCACCTCTAAATGTGAGTTGTCTTTCAAATAGCAGATCGAAACACTTAGATAGACCCGAGAAACTAGCCATGTAAGCTCTAAAAATTACTTAATCTCCGACTAAAAATTCTTCTTAGGTTGAGACTGATATAGCCAATTAATCTCTTTCTGTACAGAGAGTCCTCGGATTTCACACCCCAGCACTATCTTCCTATCTAATTTTGCAGGATGCAAGCGTAAGGAGAATTGCTGTCGGAATTGGAAGTGGAATAGATATCTCGGAGCTTCAACAAATTGCTAGCGCCAATCATGATGTAATACAGGTTAATGGGTACCAGCAGTTAATCCCCAGACTAGAGTCCATAATGACCAAGGCTTGTGAAGATCAGTATCCAGGTAGGTTGACATGAATATAGCATTAATAGAAACTGTCAATACTGGGTTAAAATTTGGCCCTTTGTGATACTCTACTACTGTGCAGTCTGTTCGATTCTAAAATGACTGTTCAACCCATCAAGAGTTCAGGCTTAAATCAGGTTCTTCCAGGTTGTTCTGTCATTTTCTCGCTGCTTCCAGTTACCTTCTGCACGTAGTGTTCTTCCGAGTCAGGTTTCTTTTCATTATGTCTTTCAATTATAGCCTTGCCTCTGTGATAACTTCTA